TGCGTTGTAATCTCCTGGGTCGTTTGTGTTTTGATCTCTTTTCGATTTTTACAATCTTTTACACTCTTTTACACTCTTTTACAATTTGATATCATCATAAAGCAATACTAGACTCTGAACTATTGCATGACTTCACTCAGTACTTTCATGTAGATGTTAACCAGGATAGGTAAGAGTAAATTAAACCTCTTCCCTGCTCCTGATTGGGACAAGTAAAATATTTAACTTAACCCAGTGTTTCCAAATTCTAAAGAGTGTATACTGACTAAACTATTTAAATAGAAGTACAAGGAACTACTTTTTCAACATTCAAAATGGGGATTTAACTCTCTGCAAATCTACACAAAATATATACTATACCTGGTTAAATCTCTTGGGCCATGAAATGGAATCCTCCTGCATGTTGTATGATTTGGAAGAGAAAGAATTTGTGTCCACCCATCCAATTTTGACTTTTGTAAATGTGTTATTTGAGTAAGTGACCCAGTTGAAAATATCAAATCCTGCATTTATATGTCCATTGTCATCAAAGAAAATGTTTTCTCCAGCAGTATTTTTTTTTATTGATTTTTAAAAACAAACATAAACAAACAAAACATAAAAACATAAAACATCTTTTTTGAAAGCAGCTTGATCCCGGGTTACATCTCTTCGTACAGACACAAATATAAGTTCATGCTCATTTTTATATACCATTCCATATCTTATTACCATTCTACATTTTCTATATAGCTTCTCCCCTCTTTTAACTTTCTTAATTTAATTTTATTTATTTCAACTCAATTCAGATCATTATACTTATATTCTTTGTCTGTCCTGTTTCAGCTGTCTATTAGCTTTTCTCATTAAACAAAATTTCTCCTGTAATCACTGATTGGAGTATGACACCTTTATATCTTTCCCCTAAAATTATAACACTTAATATAATACATAACTTCCGTTCGGATTCTGCTTAGTACATTCTAAAGCTACACACTATATTTTAAAAAGAGAAAGAATTATAAATATATAATATAATTAAAACAACAATCCATACCAATTCAATTCTATCATTAATATTAATATTCATTTAAATCTTAAACATTTTACACATTACTTTTCAAATAGGTATCATGCTTCTATGGGAACACTTATAAACTTTCCATAGTTACTTACTTTAAAACATTGTGTCATTAAAATGTTCCCATTCCTTCCTAATTCAATTCTCTCATTTATTTCATTTCATTTATTTTGTTCACAAAGGTTTCACTGAATTACACTGAGTATTTTATCCCACTTTTTAATCATATGTTGTTTCCAATTTTCTAACATTATTTCTAATACAAATATAACAATACAATCTTATGTACCTTTGCAGAATCACTTTTTCAGTTAAATTTTTACCCATTATCTCTGAATAGGTCCTGTTTCTTTACATCTTGCTCCACACCTTTGTAGCTTCTCTTCCCTTCCTTCCTCCCTTGCTTCTTCTCTCTGCCCTTTTTACCCCCTTGTCTCTCCACCTCCATTTCCCTATTCTGTGCTCCCCTTTTCTGTTGCTTTCTAACATTATATCCACTTTTCACATTATTTTTCCCTTTTTTGGTTGTTTTTTGGGGTCTTAAATTTTCCATTCTCTTCCCCCTCCCTTTTTCCTTTCTTCCCCAAGTAAAGTTACTTGTTCATTAAAGATGGCTTCTTCTTTGTCTCAATCTTCTTGTTGCACAGTCTTTTCTTGTAGTTTCTCGTAGGTACAGATCACCATTTCTAAGAATTGAAAAACGGAGCCAAGAGAGCCCTTCCCTTCTTGTTCCTCTTCTTTATATTTTTTAAATTCCATTTTCAGTTCATCCACAAGTGATGCCATTGTAAAAAAAAATTTAAACAACCACCCAAGTGTTTTTAATCATTCAAATATAATTTCCAAAAGTCCCAAAGTCACCAAACAATCCAAATACACACAAACTGTTTCTTTTAACACTTTCTTCTTTTTTCACTTTCTCTTCCTGGGGTTACTATTTAGTTACAAAGTTCCAGTTAAAATGTATCTTTTAGAAGTCTTGTTAAGATTTAACTTTAGATTCTTTGAATTCCAGGCAGCCTCCTCCTTCCAAATCCTGCTCTTATTCTTCTCCTCTCCCTTCCCACTTACAGCAAAAAAAATAAAAAAAAATAAAAAATTAGTGTTCAGAAATCTTTATTGTCCCCTTGGCATTTAATTTTCCAGTTTAATTACCTATTGATGCCAAAGTGGATTTTTCCGATTTCTCATTCATCTCTGTTCGCTGTCAACGTAAGGAAGGAGAGTGAAAAAAAAAACACCTTTCCCTTTTCACTTTCATTCGCTGCTTCCGAATCTTCTTTGGGAGCGATGTATCTTTTTTAAAATTTAAATTCCAGGATACCTTAGTTGTTGGTTCTTATCCCGGTCAGCCAAAACTTTCACTTCTTAACTTCCTCCTGCACTTTCTTTTCCGGATGAGTGCTTCTTTGAGGTGACCATTTCTGACCGCCACTCTTACCACCTTCAGGAAAGGGAGTTTAGCCAGCTGAGGAGGAAAGATGTGGCTTTCCTCGACCCTGCTGGAATCTCCCCCCTCTTCACCACCTCTACGGGGTGGCTTAGCCCCAAAGCCAGCTGGCTCGGGGCACTCCAGCGGCGAGCCCAGGCAGAAACCGCGCACGATTGCAGATTCCTACCTGCCGCCGAAGCCCTGCAAACCGGAAGTTTCTCTCCAGCAATATTTTTAAAGAAAGTATTTCTCAAAAATTTATGGAGCTAAACTGGGAAGAAGGTAGAGAAAAAATGAAGTCATGTCTAGTCTTTTTTTAAAAAGTAAAATCGTTTCACATTTGTATGGACAGTACTTGCCATGGCTGTTCATGTGGTCCTTTTTGTCTTATTTCTTTCATCTTTGCTCTTCGTTTTGACTTGGATGAAGTTTCTGCATGCAAAGCATATGCCATAATATAAACTGCATTATAGATGCTATAAATGTGACCAGACATACTTGTGTCAAACACGGTCCCAGGCAGAATCTCCAGCTTTTCCTCCCCAGTGCAGATCTCCTTATCTCTCTCCTCTAGAATGGAATTTGAGAAATCACAATTAAATGCATCTTTCCAGAAGATTTGGATAAAGCCATCCCTATTTTCTGAGAGAGGGTTTCTTTCCTTCTGAAATTTCTGGAATCCTCTAGGATAGTTTGTGTGAACAGCAAATGATAGAGCCCCATGGAGGAAATGTAGGTCCCAATTTCTGATAAAACCAGGAGATGCAAAATCCATCTGGGCTGTCATAATCCACACTTGACTGTCAACTGTTACACCATATTATTGTGCAAAAATGAACAATGATCTTAAGAAACTAACAGTATGTATTTCACCTTGTATAATAACAGTATTGGCAGTACTTCCTGTGACCATACGTGAAGTCTCAAACCATTTGATTGATTTTTCAGCAATATGACTTGAAAAATATATTTGGGGTAATTTTTCTAAGAAGTCTACACAGATACCCTTTTGGGAATAGATGGGAAGTATATCCTGCACAAGTAAATCTGCGTTGTCACCATTTGAAGCAATCACACCAATCCAGCTCCACTTGAAATGCAGGAGTAATTCAAGAATGCCCATATAGTGATGGGTCACATTTGGAAACATCTGATGGAAGAAATCTTTGGTTTTGTCATTTATTACTGGAAAAGAGCCATAACTGATCTTAGGATAGAAATACATGGGAAAAGGTGAGACATCATGACAATCAGTCTTGTGATAGATTCAACTGAAAGAGAAGGCATTGGGAAAAAAATTCTCTCAATTCCTCTCTATGTTACATTTAGCTGAAGTTTGTATATTTCTTATTATAAAAGAGAGTAAAATATGCCTTCTCCAAAAATCTATTTTGAATACTATTATGGCAAGAAATACCATGGTTTCAAAGTCCTTAAAAATATTTTGGAGCACAGGAGTTCCTGGGATAAGAGTATGGATTGACTTATGGATTATAAGGTATGGAATGAGCTTATTTATTATCTTCTGACCCTTCATATTACAAACATAGATTAAACAACCACCAAGTCATTACAAGGGGAAAAAAGTCAAAATCTTTCCATTTTCTAATAGCCAGGCTCAAAATCATACTTAAATTTAAGAAACCTTGTTTTTCCTCATGGTATTCTGATGTGTACAACTAACCTGTGGAATTTTAAGTGCTTAAGATGTTTGTCATATGGGGATAAACTTGAGAATTAGGTCCCCCAATGATTCCTACAATGTTATTGTGAATATCACATTTGTAGTTGGGGATGAATTTGTCCTTTGTGGATAGAAGTTCCATCGAGGCAAGGTAGGTCTATTTTGCAAAAAAGTGGCTATTTAAAATGTGGAAGCCTAAACTCACATTGGGTAAGAGTTGAGTATTCTCACTGATTTCCTTCACAGCAAATACCAAGGCCAGGATATGCTGGTAATTCTGAGTCAATAGCCTATATCAAAAGAAAGAGTTTCAGGCTACGTATATTTTCTAGATTGTAACACTCATTCTACCGAGACATAGAACTATGAAAATAGACCTACTGAAAATAAGGCACTTCAAGTCAACTTCATGAAACTAATGAGAAATTTCCTAACAATGAGAGCAATCAGGAAGTGGAATGGTTTGCTTTCAGAAGTTGTGGATGCTCTATCACTGAAGCCTTTCAAAAAGGCAAAAATTTATTTGAACTAGCTTGAGCACAAGGTTGGACTAGAAGACCTCCAAGGTACTTCCAACTTTATTATTCTATATTCTAAATTTTAGAACAATTTAATTTTACACACAAAGCTTGATTCCAAAAATATTTCATTTTTACAAATACCAATGTTCAGTTGAGCATAAAATGTTGAAAAGATATCATATTTAAAGATAGTATGAGGCTTCTGCTTGACCTTCCTTGAGGTCATTCATGTTTGCAATATTTTAACACTAGAATTGGAGCAATCACTGTAGAAAATTTCTTTAATGAAAGGCAGTATGGATTTAAATTGTATAAATGGTTGAACACAATTCTTATAACATTCTGTTTCCTTCCTCACCTCTGTCCCCGAATTGTAGATTTAAATACAGATCACATCAATAGTTGGGAAATGTTATCTAGACAAAGATAACATGCATTTTATTTGCAAATAAACTACTTACTTACCAAACTACTTACACAAGATCATCAAAACTCTCCTCTGAAGGTGGCTTCTGAAAACTGATTGGACTCAAAAAAACGTAGATCTGAGAGAAAATGCTTGCAATGATGAAATCACATGGGTGGTAATACTTGTGGAGAATAGAAAGAGGTTCACCAACAGGACACTTAGCAATAGAAACCTTACTTGAAGCATGAGGAAGAGTCACAATAACTATGATCAGGGCCATGAATATGACCATTTTGTCTGAGAGATTTCCTGCCTTGTTCCAAATTGTCTGCTCTGTCATTCAAATATGAATCAAGAGGCAACATTCATCTTCTCCAAGAATGTTGCTAGAACTCTGTGACATTGACCAACAATGATCAGTTGCTAGAAATCTGGTACATTAACCAACAGTGATCACAGTGGTGTAATTCTACCTTTCTCTATTATCATTTCTGTATGAGATATAAAACATAAGACATAAAACATAAAACAACATAATTGTTGAATTATCCTATTGTCCATAGGGAATATTTAAAGGCCTGTAAAAATAACATTAATTATGGTTATTTCATAACTGTAGTGGGGTAGAAAAATAAATACGAACTTGGAATTTTAAGACCTAACATAAGTCCAGATTTCATCATGTTCATGTTTTTCACAATTCAGCTGGCATCTTTCCAATCTTAATCACTGACATAATAATAGACAGGTCTGTACTTTAATTACCCATATGGAATTAAATCCTGAAAATGCTTAATCAATAAAGGTTTAAAAGTTCCATATGCAAGAAAGAAACACTTATTTATACTAATCTGTCCTTGTATGGTAACATTTTGCCAATTCTAGTTTGAGTCAGTTTTTGATTCTAGAATATTTGAAGCTCAGAGGGATATTAGAATCATACTGAAAACATACTTGTCTCTTTGATACATGATCTATGCAGTTATAGTCAAATTCTTTAAAATCCAAATCATTCTGGTAAAAAAACCTATGTCTTTCAGAAAAGTAGGGGTACTTTTGAATTGCCATTTTTCTGCCTCCGTATGTCAGCCATCCCTAAATTGTCCATCAAATCAAGGAAAACATAGTAATTTATCTTGAGTGGTTTTAATATTTTTTCATAGCTATTATCAAATTGGGATGACATTACTCCTCATCAAACCCCAATTTTCATAAAAGAAACCTATTAGTGTCTCCATACATCCTTTACAGAGCAATACTTTATACTCATTTGAAACATACTTTTTCTTCTTTTTATGACTGTTTAATCCATTTGTGTTAGGATGACTCAATAGAGGTGAGTTAGCTGGATACCCTTCCTGATGCCTACACAGAGTTCACAGCAGATATATTTTCTTTATGCCTTGCTAGATAAATATCTGCCACTGCCTAGGATCAGACTCTCAATCTTCCAAGTGGGAGATAAGATTCTTCACCTTGGTCACTGTGTCACTCTTTGGAGCATAAATTCTGAGTATAAAATTCTTAGTCTAATGAAAAATAACTTCAATTCCAACAAATCTACATGATGCAAGTCATCTTGCAAGCATTATTTATTTATTTATTTCAGCCCTTTTTTCTGGCCTGTTAGAAGAGTCATTTGATATCACTGACCACAGTATCCTTCATCTCAGCTTTGGTGGTTTGGAACCCACAAGTGGACTTGACCAAGTGGTTCCTGAAGTTCCCAGGCTAAGGGGACATTCCAAGAGATCAAACATGTTATGTGACCTCAGCTCATTGTAATTTGGTTGCCATGATATATGGCTTAGTACAATGTGCCAAACCACTGGTGCCTTACTGAACCAATTATATTTAAACGTACAATAGCTTAATATAGCATGATGTGAAAATGGAGCACATATATCTAATTATGGTTTGGAAATATAAGAGAGAAATAGGTTTGGCCTCTCACCATCTGTGTTACGTTTGGAGAGTAACGGAGACCAGACATCTGACCAGTGACTTCAACTCTTTATTAACAGTAAATAGAACAGAACAGAGCAAGGCTATGGGCAGCAGTAACCCTTTTATAGGGTTGGCTGCTACCCTATTAACCAATAATAGTGCATAAGGTCCAAACCAATAACCAATAGGAAGTGTCCTAAGTGTGGCCAATCAGGGCTTTTATGAACCAATCCTTGTTCGCTGTTCAAGGACCAATCAAATGTGCAGGCTTCCAAAACCTACTTTGCATTTGGGCTTATTTACTTTATTCATTCACAACACCCCTCCCCCCTGGGTTCCGTTTGAGGGGAGCTGTAACAAAATCTTCAAGATAGACAGGCCGTTTGGTCTGTCTGGATGATTTCCATGGCTCCACCGGGTTTGTTCTCAAGTCCGGTTCCGGTGGAGCGTTTGGATGATCTTTATTAAGTTCCGTTTCGCTGCACGGTGATTCCGTGCTGCTTCCGTTGTTATTGTCTCCGCCAATCAGTGTTTCTTCGGGGTTACACAGTTTGGTTTCCCTCATGTTCAAGTCCCATGGAATAGTCAACTCCCTCCCCGCTTCAATCCCCGGTACTTCGCTGGGCCGTAGGTTTTCCGTTGGCCTGCTATCCGTCATATCGAAGTCAATATCCTCGATATTTCCTCCCCCCTCAGTTGGTGAACCCGGGGAGCCATGGGCGCTGGGTAGTAATCTCGAACGGAGTTGGTCTATGTGGCGTTTCCACACCCTCCCATCGTCTGTTAGCAGGTGGTAAGATTTAGGCCCAGTGAGGTGGGTAACGGTTGCGGGTATCCATAAAGGGTCGCCGGAGAAGTTTTTGGCAAAGATTAAATCGCCTACCTTAAATTCCCGACATTTGCTGCTGGAGCCGAAAGGTTTTTTGGGTGCGTATGCGGGGTGGAGCCGGTCGAGGTGCGATCGTAGTTTCCGCCCCATAAGAAGTTCGGCGGGCGTTTTGTTGGTAACGCTGTGGGGCGTGATGTGCTGCAATAATAAAATCCGATTGATTTTCTCATCGATGTTTCCGAATTCCATTTTGTGGAGGGTCTTTTTTACAAACTGTACCATGCGCTCTGCACGCCCGTTCGCCGCAGGGTGCGCGGGCGAGGTCAGCGCATGGCGGATGCCCCGGTCAGCAAGATATTGTTCAAATGGTAATGCTGTGAACTGTGGGCCGTTATCCGAGACGAGGACGTCCGGAAAACCATGTGTGGCAAATAACCTGTTTAATTTGTTGATAACTGAGTCCGTTGTGGTTGTGCTCATTCGATGGATTTCGAGCCAATTTGAATAGGCATCGACTGTAATAAGGAAAGTGTGCCCTTTTGTAGGCCCCGCAAAGTCAATATGGATACGGGACCAGGGTCCTCTCGGAGTTTCCCATTCGGTTGGGCTTGCTTTAGGTGGGGCGTTGCTGACGTCTTGGCAACGTTGACAAGTAGCGACCCAGGCCTCGATTCTTTTGTCGATTCCCGGCCACCAGGCGTAGCTTCGTGCGAGTGCTTTCATCCGCACGATGCCCGGATGTCCGTCGTGCAATACCGCTAAAACAGTTCGTTGCAGTTTGCTCGGGATTACGACTCTATCGCCCCACAAGATGCAGCCCTTCTGAGAAAACAGT